CTTCGGAAGGAAGCGTGTGTAGTTGAGGGCAAAATGCACAATGAATTTACTGAGGATCTACTACGATCTCCTTAATCCTCATCACTATGAAATCTTCTTAGTCTACTTCACTAGTTCTACACTAATATGCACTTTTGTATACAATGGATGCGGGTGCGGTTGAGACATTGGGGAACTTCACTAGGCTAGCGATTCTAAGCCATACTTGCCCTTGAGACACATTCCCAGGCAAGCATTAGCTAGGGTTCGTCATGAGCCAGGTACTTAGGAGCTGGGTGCGGGCAAGGTGGTGGGAAGGCGTTACCCCCACCTGTCACATCGCTACAGTTGCAGCTAATTATGAAGTGCTATCTACAGGTTATGAGCAATACGCGAAACATGATGGAATATGAAGGACGGGGAGACTTGTAGCTTTCCAATGCTATTAATGGTAGAACAATGCTATTAATGGTAGAACGTAGAGTCGGATTTCATGAATTATCTACTGTTACTTGGTGGTTCACGAAACAAATACGAAACGTTACAGTATCTAGTATATACTACTAGTACTACTAACCAAAGTGGTGGTGGGTTTGCACTAGTAAAATTGAAGTGGACGTCATGAAAATTCAACATGAGTACAACCTCGCATGCACTACAGCAAGACCAACTCAAGACTGTATGTTGACAAGGTACTTGTTAGGGGCTGGACCTAATCGACACCTCAAATAAGCGGCGTGAGCCGAGCCAAGCCACGAGTCAATTTGACGAAGTTGTCGTGTTGCAAACATGAAGTCAACCATCATCCAAGATAGTGGTTTGGACGATGCAAGTGGCAGCATACTACCGGTAGTACACAAGCGAGAATTTGGTCGATTACATTATGAATAACTGGACAAAATTTGATGTTAATTTATGCGTCGAAATGTTAATTTTTACTTCGAAATATGTTGGTGCTAGCATGCATGTACTGTACACTTCGATTTATATGCTTATGAGTGAGGAGGGCAGTTTTTCACTAACCGTTAAGGTTAGTGGTGTTTTGGGGTTTTGCTCATGGATTTTCAGGTAGAGTTAGACGTGGGGCTTCACTCGTGGTTAAATGGTGTGGTGGAGTTTTACTAAGTGGTCATTACTCATTACTGGGTTGTTGCTTCATAGTCGAGAAGCCCAGAAAGTAATATCACTCCATCATAGCTAACGTAATACAAGCAAACAAGCCGTGGGCCCTATATCTTGGCGAAGGTATTGTAACCGTGTTAGAGTGTACTTTGTGAGCTGTAGTGCTGATCATACCATACAATTCGAATCCCTACACGTCGATACGCATGAGGCTAGATATGCCCAAGCAATTCTCGTTTACAGTAAGTTCCACAGTTTAACCACGAGCAACACAACAACACATGACATTTTCGGTCACCACGGGTAAAAATTCAAATGGTCACACGTTTTTATCCTATTCCCATGAGTGAGGCATGGTAAGTTCGACGAGTACGGTATGGCGAATGGAGGTGAGAGGAATGCGAGTTGCTCTAAGCTTACGGTGGAGAGATGGAGGAGAGGCAGCCTTCCACAACCAAACTACCGGTACACGCCCCCAAGCTAACACCATCGTGGCTCCTGGGCCTACTAAGGTTAACGCCATACTGTACCATTAACGCGTATTGGGTAGCTGTTGGTATAAGGAACCATTTTTGCCTTAACTTTAGTCGTAGATGGGTACACCTTTCCCATGCATAAGCCACCAACCAGTACAGTAGTTGAGGCAATGTTGTATTCCTAGAGGTTAGCCAGTCCTTGGACACTAAGAATGATGCACGTCCCAACTTGAGACGATATCGCCATTTTCGACATGCATTTGACGCCCAAAGAACCTGAATTTCTGCGTTTCAAAATCCTTCAACTCACGCTGAGTATACTTTAATTCAGTAGACCTCGTGGCGAAAGAAGTGATGTCATCACAGAGATTTAGTATAAACTTGTACAATATCACACCCCTATAATTTTATTGACTAGGCACATAATGACACGTCATTTCAAAGAGTGTATCATCAATTTTAGGCGATGCACGACTTGAAAAATGATTATCCATCGTCTTGACCAGCTTGTCTTTTCTAGAATGTACAGTAGATTGGAGTTTTGGTCGATCACTTCTCAAGTTGCTTCATATCTTCCAAGCCCAACCACTACTCCTCGTTCATGCCGAGCCACACCACCACGACGGCAGCAAAGAGACTCCCCTCTGCCCGGACGATCTCCAACACAGTGGATGCACTTGCAGCCATTGACGATCGCCGTCAATCCAAGCGTCAGCGATACTCGATTGAGTCCAATGATGCAACTGCTGAGGACATTGACTCTGCTTCGCCCGTAATGGACCGGTTCATTGCCGCCAAAGGGATTGAAGTCGTCCACGCCCTGACCAACTTTTCGGCATCCGAGATCAACACGTTGTGGACCAATATCAAGACGTTCGTGACGAAGAACTGGAACGTCGGGAGTGGACGCAAGTGTCCGGTGACCGGGAAGGACATGCTGTTTATGACTC